GCAGTGGCACTTAACCTTAAAAAACATCAGTGTAGGGTATACCGGGCAGTGGCACTTGACCTTAAAAAAACATCAGTGTAGGGTATACAGGGCAAATGTATGCCGGGCAGTGGCACTTAACCTTAAAAAACATCAGTGTAGGGTATACCGGGGCAGTGGCACTTAACCTTAAAAAACATCAGTGTAGGGTATACCGGGCAGTGGCACTCCGAGCAGTGGCACTTAACCTTAAAAAACATCAGTGTAGGGTATACCGGGCAGTGGCACTTGACCTTAAAAAAACATCAGTGTAGGGTATACCGGGCAGTGGCACTGAACCTCAAAAAAACATCAGTGTAGGGTATGCCGGGCAGATGTATACCGGGCAGTGGCACTGAACCTCAAAAAAACATCAGTGTAGGGTATACCGGTCAAATGTATACCGGGCAGTGGCACTTGACCTTAAACATCAGTGTAGGGTATACCGGGCAAATGTATACCGGGCAGTGGCACTGAACCTCAAAAAAAACATCAGTGTATGGTATACCGGGCAATGGCACTTGACCTTAAAAATACATCAGTGTAGGATATACCGGGCAATGGCACTTAACCAGACCTAGTATGACTAGACCTTTGATGAATGTCCTAAATGTATTCTAGGTCTAGTGCCACTTTTGCTATAGCTTAAATATTTAAAAAAAATTAAACAAAGCAATGGAATAAATGCAATGGAAGCAAAGTTATGGAATCAATTTTAAACTGTTAACGAAATTATTGCTTTAAAATTTAAAAATAATAATAAAAAAAACAGATAAGAGTAATTGAAGTAGTTGCTTTATACAGCGCATGTGCGGAAAAATTTTTTTAAAAAAATTATCCAGGTGCATCTAAAAGTGGATGAATATCCCAAGACACCAACATATTTGCTCTAATTAACAAATAATATCACGAAAAATATGAAACAAATGAATAAATTAATGCTCTAATTAACAAATAATATCACGAAAAATATGAAACAAATGAATAAATTAATTATAAAGTTTCGAACCGTTTAATAGCGAAATCGATGAATTCTGGTTTGTTCTGTATACTGTACGATTAGTTCTAGATAAATATTTTCTTAAAAACTCTAACTCGAATCCTAACAAATTTCTTTTGCATTCTTAATTTTACAGTAATATATGAAATATATAAAATCAGAAAGTATGAAGAAACTAAGAGTTTAAATGAAAATTAGATTATCTCTTTAAAACAATGCAAATTCAGTTGAAAAAGATTTAATATGTTACACTAGTTTACTTTTAATTATGGCTACAAAAGCTCAACTATTTAAAGGCTAAAAAATCTATTTTTAAAGATTTTTTTTAAGAGAATATGTTCAGATGCAATTTAATTTGCTGTACCCCTAATTAGAAAAAAAAAACGAAACATATTTACTCTACATAATTAATAAATAACATCATAAAAGTTTGAAACAAATTAATAAATAAATTAT